GAAGTTGTAGTCCCAAAACATCTGGAGGGCTGAGTTTGGGGGTGCCTGGTCTATAGTCTTGTAGAATGACAATTACAAAGCCAAACATACCATTCTCTCCAACTGCTTTCTGAGAAACAAGCCTGCTCCCAGTTTGGAGGATTTTTTTAGCCAATGAGTTAAGCCATAGCTATGATTGATTGGCACATGCTATAGAACAATTCAGAGCTGAGTGCCTCAGGGCAGATGTATTGAATTAGGAAACATCTTCTCCAGACAACAGAGAAGGAAATTCCTAGTTCATTTTGAAGTCATTTTGAGTTCTTCCTTGAGGTGAGTGTGTGCGTGACTCTAGGTTTTTTTGAAATGCATACAGAAGAATGGCTGCCTGGGTCATAATGAAGGAGCTTTCTGGTTCATTTTGAAGCTGCTGTTCATATTCCCTGGTAGAGGAGTGATTGCTACCCTGAGTGGGGGAGGGGGCAGGATTCACCTAACAAGCCCTGTCAGAGAAAGCCCCATGCAAGGACTTGCACTCAAGAAATGAAGCCCCCCCCCTCCACTCTGTCTTCCCCCTTCTAAAGGGAAATGCAGTTGAGGGTGGGGGGCTATAACAGCAACAAGTGGATTTGCAGGCAGACATTCAACAAGCTAAGCTTATATTCTAAAATGGAGATACAGTTGTGGAAAAGATTTTATATGTTGATCAGATTGGATCAGTTGGTCAGATATCTTATTACTTGTATGTGGCCTCCAATTTATTTGGAGGACCCGCCACCCTCACCTGCAAAAGAGAATACAAATTTGCATAAATATGCATAAGAAACAAATAATTAAAAACAATGTGTGATCTCTTGTGAGATGGAAAGCCTAATCCACAGCATACCGAGCCCAGAAAATCTTGTGCACCCCTGGGGATTATGAGGTCCTATAGAGCAGTGTTTCCCAACCTTGGGCCTCCAGCTGTTTTTGAACTACAATTCCCATCATCCCTGACCACTGGTCTTGCTAGCTAGGGATGATGGGAGTTGTAGTCCAAAAACAGCTGGAGGCCCAAGGTTGGGAAACACTGCTAGAGGACCAGGCACTTTAAAGCTTCATAGGACTGGAAAATTCAAGATCAAATTTGTAATGATCACAGCCTGATCAAGTGTGATTTATCAGGCCAGGGAGGCTGTTTATTTCAGCTGTATCATTTCTGTTGTTTGAGGGAGGAATCAGTTGACTGTCTGGCTGCCAGTTTGGAATGTGTCAAGGTTCTCTTGGGTAAAGTTTGTGTGATACAGATTACTCCAAGTCAGATGGTCTTGACACAAAAAAACTACATTACTTGTGCAAACAAAGCAATATTATTCATGTGAGTGATAGTGTTTGAACCATGCATCAACAGAAAATACCACTAGGCATTGTGATTGCAGCTGCTACCAATTCTATTCAGCTCAGTGTAAACCGTTGATAGAACAGAATAAAACAGCCAGTGGCAAGAGTGTACAAGTCGAGTTAATTTGATAGGCCAAGTTCTAATAAAAGTTTCCCATGAATCCAACCTTATCTCAAGAAAATGCTGTAATCTTTTGTTATGGATTCCAGTTCTCTCTATAATGGGCAAATATTAACAATCTCATGTTTTGGTTGGAGATTGAAATCTGGATCTTGAACATAACCGGAAAAATGGGCAAAGAGCATTTGCCAGATGACATAATCCCTTCAAAAACAGATGTGTTCCCTGATGTACACTTGGGAGCATTAAGTTTGTTGTTCTCTTAGGAATCATTTGCCCCAAACCATGCTGTGAAGGCATGATGGGAATAAAGTTACATATATAAAAAATGACAGGAGAATAATGAAAACCACAAAGGCTATTATATCAGAATGGGTAAAAGACTGAGCCAGCTGAGCCAGGAAGTCTTGAATTAAAATTTTGCCTCTATCACTAGTTCATTCAGTGGCCTCCAGCAAGCCAATCTTACTCAACTTCAGCTCCTCACCTGCAATATGGGCGTAACAACAACAACAAAGGGTTGTATCCAACCAAGTCTTACTCAGAGTAGACCTATTGAAATTAATCAACCTAAGCTAGCAATGCTCATTAAAATTGTTACAGATCTGGGGCTACAGAGTTTGAGGGTGCAAGGGCACCCATAACTGCTAGAGTTAGTGAATGTTACAAAGTAATAAAGGGGTAGGATTTAACTGATTTTTTTAGTACAGTCATACCTCATGTTACAGCCGCTTCAGGTTAGATGTTTTCAGGTTGCGGACCGCGGGAAACCCGGAAGTACTTAAACGGGTTACTTCCAGGTTTCGCCCTTTGTACATGTGCAGAAGCGCCAAATCGCAGATACGGCGCTTCAGGATGCGAACGCTGCGGGTTGTGGACGTGCCTCCATCACAGATTACGTCCACAACCCAAGATTCCACTGTATTGAAGGGAAGATGCCAATCCAGTGAAAAAATAACAGGCGAAACTCCATTTCCATGCCAAGGCATCACCTGGGATAGATGGCAAAAGGTGTTGATGGCCCATCATAGAGAAATCCTTGAGTCTCTGCCAATGGAGGTTGCCAAGTTTACACTGAGCGATGACATAGGTTGCAGGGAAATTGTGACCCTTCAAAGGCTTGGAATAGCAGAGAGAAGGGGAGGAGTTACTTGGCATGGGACTTTTGGGAAGGAGAAGCAGGAAGTGGTGAGAACTCCATGTGGGAGGCTGAGGTGTGACACTCAGAAAGCCTCTGAATTCAATGCTGAGCTCCTGTGAAAGACCAGCCGCTCCTGAGATGCGAATGCTGTAAACTCTGCACTCTGCACAAGTTGTTATTATGTGTTAATAAACCATATTTCTTAAAGACCCGACAGTCTCATCCACATCTTAATTCCCAGTGGGAACACAACCCTGGAGTCCCTGGAATCTTACTACAGTGGTACCTCTGGTTAAGAACTTAATTCGTTCCGGAGGTCCGTTCTTAACCGGAAACTGTTCTTAACCTGAGGTACCACGTTAGCTAATGGGGCCTCCTGCTACCTCCTGCTACCACCGCACCGTGATTTATGTTCTCATCCTGAAGTAAAATTCTTAACCCGAGGTACTACTTCCAGGTTAGCAGAGTATGTAACCCGAAGCGTTTGTAACCTGAGGTACCACTGTACCACTCAACAAAGATTGAGGGTGGCGCATAACCTTTGTAACAATATGAGTAACTCTGCTCTGAATAGGACTACCATTTGATACAACCATAAAGATCACTTAGAAAACATATGCAAAGAATTTTCAACATTCTCTCATTATTATTACTACTGTTATTTATTAGACTTGTTAGCTGCTTGGTACCAAATGACTTGTCTTCAAGTGACTTACAGCAGTTAGAGAAACACAAACATATTACAGGCAGTGACTATTTTACGTGCATCTGATTGACAAGCAATCATGCACATGCTTATCTCTGCCAACCCGAAGTGGCCTGAAAACAGGGCAGAATGGGGCATGCTTATGCGCACTCCGCCAATGCTCATGAGGGTCAGAAAAGGGACCCCCCACACACACACACAAAATGGTTGCTGCCTGTATACCATTATATATATATATATACACCATATTTTGCACCATTGTAATGTACTCTAGCCATATATAAATTAAATAAAAGCTTCTGGTGGAACATTTACTGACTCATTTCTAAGTTTCTGCCTACACATGGAGCTATCATCTGAGAATTGCAGAGTTTCATAAATGCATCCATGGTTGGAACCCTAGATTTCTGACCACTGATGGCTTGTTGCTGCTTACCTTGGCTGAATTTACAGAAAACAGAAAACATAACACTTGACTGAAATACTTACCGTAACACCCACTCTCAGGCTTCTGATCCACCAAACCTGCCTATTCTAGAACTTCGTGTGACTTCAAAATATTTATTTTTAGCTCTGTTTCACCAGAGTCTGGCCCTGACCCTGACCCACAAGACATGTATATACTGAATTCCAGAAGCTCCATCCTGTTTGACGCACAGATTGACCAAAAGGAGGAAAAAGCTGCAAGACCCTAACTTTCTCCTCAGTCTCCTCCCTCGCAAGCGCCACAATTGTTTGGAAGAGGGATCACCTTATTCTCTGTGTGGGAGGATTTTATCCATTGTGAAACCCGCAGTGAAAGAGCCATCTGAAATACGGCATTTCCAAAACAGGAAGGCCAAGTGTTTCTTTGTTATTTCCCTCTTCTCCTGCCTGGTGACAATGAAAAAGGAGGTAGCGCTTATGATTTCAAAACAATAAGAGCTGCCTTGGCTTCTTTCCCTTTAAATCCTTACAGAAAATAACCCTAAGCAGGATCCACTTGGTCACTATGTAATATTAAAATGTTTTTGATTATAATGGCATATATTGATTATAAAAGTCATCAACTTTAAAATTGCTTTTATGGAAAATTATTATTATTTATTTGCCATCAATGCGTACAGATGTGAAATTGCTGACAAACATTTTGGTTCATGTTCCCTCTTTGTGTTAGTTTATCTTTTATTGTTTAACAACTGTGCTCCTGATTCTGTTCATCCAGTGTAGCTATCACAGGGCAAAGTACGACTTTCATTGGCACAGCTAAAGCGAAGCTTAGTCCAGAGCTTAGTTTTCCTAAGCCCTGTAGCTCTGTTCTCACTTGCCATTAATAATGTCATGATGAAACATCCACACCCCAGTACCAATGCACCATCATATAACATTCCAATGGCCACTTTGGGCAAATTATACCAATTAACTAGAAGAGGGACTCTGTATCTGTGTGGGTTATAGCAAGGAACTTGACTTTTGTGGGACTGGTTCACCCACCCCATGGAGTCCTTTGCTCATGAGGTCCACAAGCAACTGCCACTGACATTGTATTCTGTTTCTTTGGAAAGCTTTTGAGTTCTACAGAAGCCAGTGGCAGCCTACTTGGCTAATTGATATTGGTATAGTATAAACTAATGCTGAAGAGAACATTTGTTTAACATCTGTTTGTTTGACTTTTCTTTTCTGGCTTTTTGCAGCACCAGTTCAAAAAACAAAAAGGAATGGACCTAACAAATGTGGTTTGTGAAGAAAACCCATCTCAATGCAATATCAAACTGTCAGAATCAGAAGTGAAGCGCAACTGCATACTGCTGGTTGAGGCAGCAAATAAAGGTCAGTTGAGTAAATTGGTGTAAAACTTATGTATAGAGCAAGATATGGTTTTACCGAGATTGTGTATATATGTCAGGGAGTGAGTGGTTTGTTGTAGTTAGATAATTTATGTTTCAATGAGTTATTCTGTCTGTTTTCATTACTTCACACTTGGGAGGGTGGTGGGGTACGGAAAGCAAAATTGTATCTCAGCTTTCATCAGTAATCACTGTTCATTCTCAATGCATCATCTGTTCCTTAAAACGTAAGATCCTCCAAATCAAGGTACGGAATTCCACAGTCACAAGAATATCCCATCCAATAGCCCATGCTTGAAAAACATGAAACAAACACTATAGTACTAATCTACAGCTGTGTGTGATGGGCATCTGGCTGTGAATTTTATGTTGTTTCTTCCCTTCCAGTTGTTATTTATTGAAACTTTGTTATGAATTGTACCCACGCCCAAAAAGATGGTGGGCATTTTTACTCCTGAGATTTAAAGCAGTTCTTGCTGCAGTTGCTATAATACAGGAATGGGGAAACTTTTTCAGCCTGAGGGCCACATTTCATCATGGGCAACCTTGAAGGGAGCACATGACAGTGGTGGGTGAGGCCAGAACCAAAAGAGGGCAGAGCTGTAGGCTGTACTGTAGGCTGCATTCCACTCACATGGTCTGGCCCAAGACATTTTGCTGTCTGAGACAAATGACAAGATGGAGGTACAAAAGCCAACCAAAGTGGCAGTTGAAATTTACTTCAAAACTGGCAACAGGATACATACCCTCCAAGTGTCCTGATTTTTCTGGGATGAGCCCAGAATTCCTAAAGCCATCACAGCTTCTGACTTGATCCTGGGGCACCCCAAGTTCCCCCAGCCACTGGACAGGGGCCACAGAAGCACCTCCTGGGGCAGCTGTTGCATTGGGAAGGAAGCATGAGGGCTCCTTCCCAAAGTCTACTTAGCACTTACTAGACTTTGGCAAGAAGGTGGGTGGACTCTTGGACCCTGGCAGAGCCCTCATGCCTTCTTCCTGAAGCCATAAAAGCCTCCCCTCTTGCTGCTTTCTTCAGGTGAAAGAGAATAGGCTTTCCCAGCCATTGCACCGCTCCTGTGCCTCTGATTCCAGACTGTCCAACTATAGTAAAGTTTTCTCTGGCAGGTTCAATGTTTGTTTGCTTGTTTCTAGTTACCCCCAACTTAATTGCTAGATGATAACCAATTCATAACCTGCAAAATGTAAGCCAACTAACAACACCAAGAAGAAGAAAAACTATGTTTTCCCCTGCTTTCGTTCAGCCTTTGAATGTGACCTATCACTTTCCTGGCTGCATTTGTGGCATTGCAGTAAAGTGGTATGTTCTCCTTGATCCGTAACCCAGAGCTTTCCAAAGGTGCTACTGGAAGGAATTTTTAAAAAATTCTTATTTTGTTTCAACTACGGCAGACCAACACGGCTACCTACCTGTAACAGCTCCATACCTGTTAGTGTCTTCCACCTGAGGCGGCTGTGTCCCTCTGCCCCAAGGCAGGGCCAGTTGTACCAGCCATGCAAAAGCCAGAGGATTCTATACAAACACACCTCTCTCTCCAATCTTCACCCAGATAAACAAAAGACATTAGCACAGTTCAAGGATATATTGCGGCCAGGCAAAGGCACACGTGGATAATGCAAAGCCAATGAGGGGTGTGGCCTGGGGGAAGTCCTGAGAGCCAGGCAGATAAGGCTGGAGGTTCAGCCTATGGACCAGACCCTGTTTTTATAATATATTTTATAATATAAAATATTAGTATTGCCCAGAATGCTCATCCACAATACAAACATGTTTCCTCGGCATGAGCAATCAGGTGCTCTTATAAAAAGCACAAGCGATGTTTTAGTGATATAAGCATGTGTGCGAAAATGCTTGTTGTCCTCATAGTCTCTTCCAGTTTTACAACAATGAATACCAAAGAAAGGTAACAGATGGACACAAATTTTATTGTGTGATTGATCTAACTTTTGTTTGTTTTGAAATCAACAGGTCCAAGTGCATTAGAAACGGTTCTTCACCAGAAGGCAGCATTTTTGGAACAGGTAATAAATGAGGGGTAGGTAATAAATTAAGAATGTGGGGGAGCTGAGTTAGGTACAATAAGAAACCGCAACATCTAAAATATGTTAAAATCTGGATAAAATATGTGAGTGCTAGTAACTCTCTGTCGTAGAAATCATATGAATGTCCAATTGTCTCATTAAGATGTTAGGAGACCCCCTTTCCCTCCACAGAGCTACAATTTTCAGACTTCCATGGAAAGATGGATTGACTGTTAAACCACTCTGGTAATTTGTGGCTCAGTGAGGGAAATAGGGGTCTCCAAGCCACTTTCAACATGCTTAACAAACTACAGTTCCCAGGATTCTTGGAGGGAAGCAATGACTGTTTAAAGTGGTTATGATACTGCTTTAAATCCTTTTAACTTTGAACTAGGCCCAGTAACATGTGGGTCACTGCTGCCACTTTTTAAGCACTGCCCCCATCAAGTCTAGCCACAGCATATTGCCACTGGCTCAGCATTCAAAGTATCTTAAACAACATCCATCTATCTATCCATCTCTCCAGTGCTTTTTTCGGGGGGCATGCATATTCCTAAACATTTTGTGAGTCTTTGTACTTTTGTCCATTTACTGTATTTACTTTTCCTGATTTGAACTATAAAAGGGTGATTTTCTTGAGTCAAAATGAGAGTACCTCTAAACATTGTTTTAGAGAAAAGCACTCTACCTATCTATCTATTTCTCACTCTTACACACACACACACACACACACACACACACACACACACACACAATATGTCTGCATATGATTTGCTTATATAAATTCTGTGGAAGGACATGTGGATCCAGAATTGGCCTCCACAGTCAGTTATGGACTCACAAACCGTGTTTATAGAAGACAATCTTACTCAGCTACGAGTGATTGCCAAAGAAGAAGAGCAACATTGTTCTGTCTAAACAGAGCATATAACAACATATTGAGAGAGATATGCCACAAGTGGTTTCTCCTTCTTTATTATTATTTATATTCAACCTTTTCCCCAAAACCAGGCCTTAAGGCAGTGCACAAAAATTAAAACAAACATGAAAAGCTAAAAGCATAAAGGATAACAGTTACAAAGTAATTAAACTATAATAGAATTAACACGACATGAAAACAGATCTATAAAATCCAGTAAACAAAAGTGTTTTCCTTAAAAACAGTCAGTTCCCAAAAGCCCACTGGAATAAAACAGTCTTCACTTTGCTGGCAGAAATATAAGAAGGAGGGAGCCTATTTAGCCTCTCTGGGAAGGGAGTTCCAAAGTTTGGGATCAGCCACTGAGAAGGCTTTATAAAGTCATCACCTTTGTGCAGTCATCACTTCTGAGCCCAGTCAAGTTTTTATGCTGCAGGGATTTGGCCAATTATATTGCTAGACCTACAGTACTATTATAGTTTTAATAAAGGTCCCCAGTAGTAATTCATTGCACATTTTGGCACTTTACATCTTCAAAGTGTAATAATACATTAATTAATTAATCCTCACTATTCTCTAGTGAGGCAGGTCTCTGCTTGTAAAGCTGGACTCCAGGCACCTATAAAAATAGCACTGAAAAGCTAAATGTGCACATTGCTGCCACAGCTGTCATGCAGTAAATCTCAGGGAAAAACCACTAGGTGAAAAATTAATTTTGGAGATAGCTGAAAATTAGATGTGATGCAGGAAGCAGTAAAATGTGAGACATAAGGGTCTTATGCACTTCAGGGTCCCACCCAGAGTGGCTGGGGAAGCCAAGCCAGATGGGTGGGGTATAAATATTATTATTATTATTATTATTATTATTATTATTATTATTATTATTATTATTATTAACAACTTGATTGTGGGTACAATTCATAGCACTGAAAAGGGGAATTGAATCATTTCCCATATGCTAATATACAGGATGCTAAACTGAACACCAGGGCAGTGTGATATGGGATTTCCATGCTGGTTGATAGGGGAGAAATTCTATTTGGTCTGCATTTAAAGGCAAACTTACCCAATTTGCACTTTTCCAAAACAAAATGCGAACCAAAACACATCCATTCTTCAAAATTCACACTTCTCTGAGTTTTGCAGTGCAGTTCTTGATCACGTAATATGCACAAAAATACACATACTAGCTGTGCTTTTCTTCTGGAGAAAAGGTGCCGGTACTCCCCATGAAGTTGTTACAGTAAGTGCCACACATTTAACCAGTGCTTTTCTTCTAAGGAAAAAAAATATGTGCTGGTACTGTGTAACCTTGAGTACTCCCAGAAAAAAGCACTGCATACTAATGTAAAACATATATTAGTGAAAACAACATACAAAAATGTATAGTGTTAGGGAAAATGTAATGCAAACATCTGTATATCAGGTAAAATTGCATTTAAAAATGTGTATTTTAGGAGCAATCTCCACAAGCTAGGACTCGTTTTCAAAGCTCGACTTACGCTTTAAGTACTTTGAAAAATCTGTGCATGTGTATTCACAGGGCAGCCCAGGTATTAGGCAGGGTGAGGCCGCTGCTGCTGCTGCTGCTGCTGCAGGTGGTAGAAGCCCCTTTAAGGGCATCCCTATGAGTGCCCAACCTGCCCCACTGCCTGCACCATTGGCAGAGAAGTAGCGCTGATTTCTGGTGAGGGCTCACTGAAATAATCTTACCCAAAATTGGCACCAGTACCAGCACCACCGATGTGCTGGTGGTGGAGGCAGCAGGGTGGACAGGGCAGGGAGGCACTTCCTGTTTCTCCTCAAGTGGTGAACTGGCACCCGCCACCCCTGTGTAGTCAGTTGAACAAATTTCCTTCAAGAAGAAAATAAACCCAAGGGTGGATAATATTATATTAAAAAGTTGTAGCAATTTAAGATGCCCCATAGAACTGTTCCACTGGTTTTCACTAGGGGCTGTATCAATACTTCCAATTTTTTAGAGAAGAATTTTCAAAAACGGTACCTAGGCTATGGTTTAATCTTATATGTGAAAGTAAGTTCTACTGTAAGTACCTTGCAGCGAGACTGAGATAGTAAATGTGTCTGCAAATTTTATGTTTCACCTTTCCCCTCCCAACCCTACTTGAAATTGAAAATAAGAAACCGAACTAAGAATTTTGGGTGTAAATGGGAGAGCCTCTGAATGTAATATGCTTCCTGTTTATGTTATTTTTGGCTCTGTTCTGTATTTTTTCAGCTAGGGATAAAGCCCCACAAACAGGAGGACATTTCGAGTCACAAGGACTATTCCCGGAAGACACTTATTGCCTTGGTCACCTCTGGTTTGCTGCTGGCATTTCTGGGATTGGCTGCATACTTCCTTATGAAACGACAGAGCTGGAGCCCCATGGGAGAGAGGCTGGTTAGTGCTTATAGCTGGCAAAACAAGTAGAGAGATCTCTAAGTTCAGCAGGAGTGAGAAAGGAAGAATGGTGGAAGCTTTGTAGAGACCGCTTGCTGGCTAAGAATTTCAAGTAGTTAGCTGTCTATTTCAGGAGTTTAAAGAGAGGCGAGTGATGGTGAAAAAGATCTAGTGAGCTTACTTTTCTACAAGTTAGCTATTTTCTATCAATGAACATATCTTGTTAGACTGGGGGTGGCGGGGAAGTGTAGTTGTTTCAAAAAAGTTGTCCCCTACCATTCAACCAAAAAAGTTTAATGACAATAACGGACATGAGAAATAATATTATTCTTTGATACATGGGTTGCCTTCCTGTTTATGGTTCCCTCTTTATAGCTTGCATTGTACTGCCAACATCCAACTTCTAACCTTACTAGTTATATTCAATTGTAATTACAGCTGTGTTTACAGTTTAATATTTTGAGATGTTCGTATATTGGTACACAAACTCAGCAAACCAAGAGCTGAAATTTGTATTATACTTGTTTGCATGTATAAACAAGCCTGAAACCCCCCCCTTTTTTTTTTAAGGCAAAGGAGCTGTAGAAGGAGGCAATGCAAGAGGGAACAATATTTTCCCCAATAGCAGAAATGCCTGAGTTAAAGATCAAATGTTTCTTTTTGGTGTGAAATCTAAACCAATTTGTTGTCCACTTGATTCAATTATCTAACTCTGCATTTTGTTATTATTTACTGCCTCCTCCATTTAGAGTGAAGATCCATATTACACAGAAAATGGTAGCCATGGCAACACTGTGGTTTCTGTGGCCTCTCATGAACAGTCTGACCTGCAGGATAAACCAAACTTCAATGGAGGGGCTCGGGAAAATGGAACTGGTCAACCAACCTCAAAAAATGGACATTCAACCAAGCCCCATGTTGTGGCTGACACTGAACTGTGAAAAGGATATGGCCAAAAGTCTTATTAACATGGCTTGAAAGACCAGAGTGGAAATATAGAGGAGCAAGAGTGCAAGGGTGCCATAAATGGAATCATTATCTTTTTATTTTTACAAAGAATTCAAAAATCCCATTCCAAAGCATACATTTTTAATGAGCTGCCACAGGACTTAGTGGTATGTACAAGCTTTCGTTTGTACACACTTTCATTTGTACAAGCTTTCATTTATACATGAAGTTAGCAAGCTGCTTCAATGGGATTTGGCTTGTTCATAGTATCTTTTTTTGCTCTCTCTCAGACCAAAATGAGATGTGACTGTCCCTTACAACCATCTATCTAGGGAAAGGATAGGGGTGCTTCTCTAGAAATTTAGAGTAGATTTATCATTCTTAGGAATTTGATTTTCAGCTCCAGTGCTGATTAGGGGGAGGAAGGATCTCTTCACAGTGAGAATAAATAAAAATAATGAACAATAAGGCATTTAACCACCTAGGTCAACAATTCTGAGTACTGATTCACATGATGACCCTTTTCTTATGACCCTTTTCAACACAAGAGAACCGGTGAATGCTCAAACACATGGCTGTATTTTGCCTCAACCTAGCTCAACCCACATTTAATTTTTTTCAAGATACAAAAAATTGCCATTTGGATGCATGTAAACTGTATTTATTGGTCCAAGTCACTATACTAAATCACTGAAAAGGCAACCTGAGAGTTAAACAAATTGTGTGCATCAAACCTCAGGAAACCCACCAACATTCTTACTTCTTTGGTAGGTACCATTTGTCATTCCTACATCCAGATCCAGCTCAGACATCTCACTCCAGCCTTTCTACTATGTGATGCAATGCCCTTAACACACACTGACAGGAACTCATCAGCCGACCCCGCAAGCCTTCTGAAGTACCATTTGGCAATCACCAAACAACATTAAACACTTCATTAGACTTGCTTTCAGCAGAAAACTAGATGGTTTTTCAGGTGAAAAACATTTTAAAATATTGAAGGGCAGTTCCATATTCAGTTAGGAACTGGCATAGGCAACTGGCCCAAAACTACAAATGTTGCTCATGTCAGCGAAATATTTCAGCTAGGAGATTCTGTCTCCATTATTCCTAGAATAACATGTAAACAGAAGCAATGACATAAAGCAAATGATGTTGGCTAGGAATCAGGGGTGGCTAATCAGTGTCCCCCAAGATACTGTTGGGCTCCAGCTACCATCAGCTCCAGTCGGCATGGCTGATAGCCAGGGATTGTGGATTTTCATAGAATCATAGAATTGTAAGGGATCCCAAGGGTTAACCCCCTGCAATGCAGGAATCTCAACACATGGTGACCCATCTAATTTAAAACCATACAAGACCCTGTGTGGCTTTGGAAATGTGTTAGCAGTTTTATTGTTGCACCATTGTAGTCCAACAACACTTGAGGGCCACAGGTTCCCCTGCTATAAAGCACAGAACAAGTCTTAAAAACATTGTCCTCAATCCTAATGAAGCTAGTTCTGTTGAAATTAATGAGACAAATCAGTTACAGTTAAATTGATTGTACTGTCAGTTCTCTTAAGTCTGCAGTCTTACGTGGAAATAAGCTGTATTGAACTTAATGGGGCTTAATTCTAAGAAAACTTGTATATGACTTGTGTTGTAAATGAAGTAAACTGACTGTTTGGATCCTTTGAACCCTGTTTCCAAACAAACAAATGAGAATATGTTTGCAAATGTAAATCTTTGCGTTAATCACATCTGGTGTCTCTCTATATATTTGTTTTGCTCTATATATTTGCCTCCCCCCCCAAAAAAAAAGAATACTAGGAAGTTGTTTCCTTATGTTGTGCTTTATTATTCCTATCCCCCATGTTAAATGCCATTCTGGGTTTTGTTGACTCTGTATTATTATTTTTGTATGTTGTACAATACAGTACAAAATATGAATAGGCTTTGAAATGAATTACATTTTCTTCCCCCAACCCAGTCAGTATGATCATTATTATTTTACATTTAAACTTACAGATTATCAATAGGGATAATACAGGAAATTCTAATATGAATGATGCTTGGATCTTGGACCAAATAGTTAAGGGATAATGTGTCCACCATCCAGTGACTTAGGCCCCATCTTCACAACACATTTTAAGCAGTATTGTAGCACTTTAAACAGTCACGGCTTCCCACAAAGAATGCTAAGAACTGCAGTTTATTAAGGGCACTAACAGTTGTTAGAAGACCCCTATTCCCCACACTGAGCTACGATTCTCAGAGTGGCTTAACATCCATTCCCTCATTCGGGAGAACACTACAGTAAGCTAAAGGAGCAACAACCAGATATGCTACTGCCACTGCCACCCATTATCTGTCACCTGAGGTGGTTGCCTTGCTCTGCCTAATGGTAGAGCCAGCCCAGGTCATAATTAACTGGTATTTTACATTTATTATATTAAGGCAGGTGTACTGTAAAACAAAGAACTTTATTTAAACAAGCTTTCTTTGACTCCTAACTCTCTCTGGCACACCTGCTCTCTATACTGAATCACTTCCTGATAGCTTTTCTCTTAACCTGTGCTTTCCCTCTGTTTTATTAAGTTTCTCCAGCTGACATCCGTCCTTAACCCTCTTACTTAGTTCCACATACATTGATACAGTGGGTGGGTGTATATTAAGACTGCAATCACCTGGGGCATGTGGATAATGACCTAATCTATGGGAGGGTTTTCAGATGTGTATCAATTAACCACACCCACTTTTGTGGCCAGCTGGATCTAAAACCAATCTGAATTGAAAGCAGCATGTTGAAGAGGAGCAGGAGCAATTCCGGATTGAGAAAAGGTACATTTTTGTGTTGCAAATGGGTTTATTGTGTATGTGGCCTGAGGCAGCTTTGTGACTGCAGACCAGTACACTCTCAAGTCTCTCAACTGACAAAAGGATTAACAGTGATATCATTTGAAATACTTAGCATTTAGCTGCTTTGATTATGTTTTATACTGAATCATGAGATCGAAGGTGTCAGGAGTAAACTGATTTTGTGTAATACTTTTGAGTATTCAAAACAAATGCATTGTCTGTAAAATAGGGGTGGGGAACTTCAGGCCTGAGGCCTAACTGCAGCCTTCCAGGCCTTTCTCTAGGGCCCTCAGAACTCTCCCCAGACCAGAAGAGAACACAGGCCCTTCGGCTGAAAAAGGTTTCTCCACCTGTGCTGTAAAGGAAGGATTTTCATTCTCACTTTACAGATTAAAACAAATAAGAATGCTGAGGCCAGGCCTTCCCAATTCATAGTTCAGTCACTTATGCAGAGATTTTGCACAGATACAATGAAAGCTTTCTGTTAGTAGGGATAGATTGAGTGCCAGAGCCATATGGTAGTCACTTGATCTTAGCCTTAACTTATGACATTGTGACTAAAAATCAGTATAGCACTGTCTGGGCTGAGGCAATCATGGGAATGGATCCTGAGTTGTGTCAGGCTCCCTTTCTCACATTACATTAGTGGTGCAGGAGCTATTGCAGTACAGCTTCTTTCTATGGCACTCGGGTGAAATGAAACAGTCTAAGACAAATGGAAGGTATTTTTGCTGCAACTCCTCCCACTATCTCTGCTAAAGCCAGGAAGCACCCAGCTTCAGCAGAGGTTCTAGGTGAAGAAGAAAGGAGGGCAGCCTTCTCCCAGGTTTTCTGCACATAAACCTACACACACACACAATTATTTAAATGTCGAGAAGCATTTCTCTTCAGAACCTTTGACCTTCCAGATGTTACTGAATTCCAATTCCCATCATCCTTGGCCATCAGCCATGCTTGCTGGGCCTTGTGAGGGTTGGAATTCAGCAACATCTGGAGTTTGGAAGGTTCCACACACTGGGTTTAAAGGATCCTGAGGAGAGCAGTGCAGTGACTGACAGGGAACTCCCAGCCCAGCCAAGAACCTGTGCCTGCTCTCAACTTTTGGGCGCATCATGAGGGAAGTCCCTTCCTTTTCCCTCTGCAGTTTTTAGTGGAGGTGAGGAGATTCTTCTGCTGGTGTAGCTCCCCTCTTCCTCCACCAGTTTTCGCTGCTGGAAGCATCTGCCTGCTAGCTACCCACATTACTAATGCACGTAGTTTTATATAAGATGATATTCTTATTGGAGGCCTTTAGGAGTTGCAATTGAACAAACTATCACATGTCATAAATTAAGACTGTGCCTACACAGTAAGAATCAGGAAATAAATTCATTTCCTAGAACTTAATTTTGCTGTTCATTTTAGTGAACCTTTTGACATACCTCTGCTCTGCCTCAGGCAAATTTCTCAGCTCAGAAAAAAATAAATAAAGCCTGATCTGTGGTGACATAAGAAAACAAATGCTGTTCCCAAACAGTCTGAACCCAAAGGAAATACAGTGCATTTTTCCAGCAGAGGTGCAGAACATGAGAGAATTCCAGTCCGGAAAGGCAGTGCTCAGAGCTACAGGAAGTTTCCCCCAAGTGTGTAAACACAGTCAGGCTTGGCTTGAACAAAACTGAAGGTGCTATTACTCCTTCCTTATCAATCTACATGCATTTCTTCCTTGCAGAAATTCCTCCTTAATCTTTTGCTTTGAAAGTTCTGAAGGTGATAAGAGTTTCTCCCTCCCTAATTTCTTAACAGTTTCTCTGCTATAAGAAAGTAATGGAAGTAATCTAATACTTCATCTTATTTGGATCTATAGGTGGCTTCTTACTATTAGAAGTACAAGAGCCTAGTACCTCATGGAAACAATAATATGCCACCTATTGCAGGGAGAATTGTTTCATTGAACTACACTATCCTGTGCTGTGCAATTATTTAAGTGGCAGAGGTCAAAACCGCAGGGTAATAGGTTCTATGATTGCCAGATGCAAAAGAGGACAGGGGATTCCTCCTCTGTGCATGTTGAAATTCCTCTTCTGTACTACTACTGGTGATGCAGAAATCCTTGTCGTCTTTTGTATCCGGCTACTCTGTGAGATTCATCCCATCTCCAGTTTGAGGATTATAAGCAGTATGAGCTGGGAGAAAGATTTCTATAGAGTCCCTGATGAGCTACTTGCCAACCACAGCTAAATAGGCCAATGTTCATAACTTACATTTTATGTCTGATGCATTGTGAGAAATGTTGCAAGGCTAATAATGGCTTTCTTGAAGGACTGTTACAACGCATAGTGAAAATGTGTGCAGTCATGTTGCTTAGGCTGATGGTTCCAAAATCAATGGGATTTTGCTCATTTTCTGGACCAGCTAGTCAGCTCCAAATTGAGTTACTATCTCCTCTGTTATCAAGTTGCTGTTGGCTACAGGTTGGTCATGAACCCACCTTGCAAAAAACGGATAAACCACCCATTATTTCAAAGATAACTTTTTCTTTAAATAATGCCTTTGTTTTTACGGGGAAATGTGATACATGGCAGTTCAGTGAGCATTTTCATTCAATTACAATTGGAATTGTCTGAAGAATTTAAGTTAGCCCATTAGATTTCTACACGAGTCAGTGAACACATTGACCTGCTCTAGAACTTCAAAGAGAAACCGGGAATGGTCAAATTCACAACTCCTCTGGACTGGGCCAAGGTTCGGAATAAATGACCAACACCTGCATAGGGCTTTAGACTTTAAACCAATTACAAGTGTCTAACTCAAATTCTACTCTTAACACCAATGGTTTTTTTTATTACTTCTTTGGAAACTCTTAATAATCCTTCCTCTTGGTGGGATTGAAGGCTATTAGGATTTTCCCAGCTGGGTGTAACTGAATAACTGTGTCTGTGAGATCTTGTTAATAACACAGTTTAAGGGACCATTTCCAGTGTAAAACATTAAGAAGCTGTGGTTTCTGGCAGGCCACAAACACTCCACCCTGCTGGTGTGAACAGACACACTGGGAGTCTCATAAGAAAGCATAAACACGTTGCTAGTGTTTCCATAAGATCAACTCATTATGCTGCAAATGTCATTCTATCTTTATCTTACTCCCCCCCCCACTCCGAAAGCAGAAGTGCATTCCAATCCTATTAATGTTTACTCAGAAGCCACACTAGAATTCAGTGGGACTTAGCCCTAGTAAGTGTGGCTACGAACGCAGCTCAAATTCCTTAAAGGACTTTATAAATGTATGGGTTACTGATAGCAAAAAGATAAGTTTTTAATTTCATCATGTCCTTCTCTCCTACACGTACTTATTTGCTGTGAAAATTTTATTCTCTTCTCTAGTATTCTGGCAGATCACAAATGCTGGTAAGTGGCAGCTTTCTGCCAAGCTGGCCTAGCAGTAGTATCCGCAGAGTCAGAGCCCTCCTTGCCAAGTACAAACCCAAAGATCTCAATAGAGAGTCACCTCCACCTGATCCTACCCCCCCCCCAGCAACACAGATCAGGGGTTAGGACTTCACTGTAAGCATGCTTAGGATTGCAGCCTTATTTTCAGTTTCCCTCAATATTAGATTTATACAGGGCTGCAAGTTCTTTCCCCCCCCCTTTGGTGAGGCTCCTTTGCCTTTGAATAGCTGCCTGTTTGCTAGTTTAACTGCAACTTTACTGCATATCTGGAAGTTGTGAGGACACAGCAGCCCTAAAAGTTAACAAAATATAGTCTATACTCAAGGGTCAATATTATTTGTTATTGTGTGGTGCACAATTGGCCCGGGGGGGGGGGAGGCTAATTACAATATTAGGGCCAGAAATGATGAATGTTGTTGTTGTTTAGTCGTTTAGTCGTGTCCGACTCTTCGTGACCCCATGGACCAGAGCAGGCCAGGCACCTCTGTCCTCCACTACTTCCCGCAGTTTGGTCAAACTCATGCTGGTAACCAACCATCTCGTCCTCTGTCGCCCCCTTCTCCTTGTGCCCTCCATCTTTCCCAGCATCAGTGTCTTCTCCAGGGAGTCTTCTCTTCTCATGAGGTGGCCAAAGTACTGGAGCCTCAGCTTCACGATCTGTCCTTCCAGTGAGCACTCAGGGCTGATTTCCTTAAGA